AGAAACGTTTGCATGTTAGAGATCGCACTTTAACGTACCCTGTCGAAGAGCGCAAACAGTTGTCTCAGCACATCAGAAACGGGAAACTTCAAATACTCTGCAAATTCCTCGATTCCAATCCTTCCTCCTTTGGAGGCGCTCGCGATCGCGGCGTACTCATCCAAGTGCTTGCGGACGCCGTCCCAATCCAACCTGCGGGGACATGGAAGCAGGTGGTCTCAGCCCTTCCCAGCCCACGCCACAGTTTCATAAACACTGTTTTTTCACTTGTCTAAGGGAAACACTGTAAGTGTTACGTTTGAAAAGGAGAATAAAATGTGTATTTTAAAGTACAGCCTGAACATGGATCCAGGCTCCTGATTTTTTTTTTAAAGGATATTAGTATAACTAATTTCCCCAAATATCAGAGGGAAAGAAAAGTAACTGAGAAGAGCAATGTAGCAGAATAATAAATGACTCATGAGAAGAAAATAAGAAATCACATTTAAATCTAAACATTACTTGGTAAGTCAATAGTACTTACTGACCAAGTGGCTAAAAAAATACAATTTTTGCTTTCATGGAGCTTTTGGGCTGATAAATTCATATTTCACAAATGTTGGGACAGGGCAATTCATTAGACCCTACACACTTCCTCCAATACTAGTTATGAAAAACCAGGGCGATAAACACTAGAAAAAACACTGTAGCTTACATCACATTCTTTCTTTTTTGTTAAATTTATTTGGGTAACACTGGTTAACACCTTGCTGACTGGTCACAAGTATACATGTGTCTGCACTTACATTAATTTAACTAATTTTAAACACCTTGCTGACCAAAGTAGCCAGCCACACAGTTAAGTTCTGGCTTGAAATAGCCGGTCAGTATGAGATTATTTAAGTCTCAAGTGTGCACTCCTTCTATTACACATAAACATATTGCATTGTGTGCTCACTGCCCAAAGTTTAGTCTCCTTCCGGCACCATATATTTGACCCATCACATCCTTTCTTTACCTTGTAAACAGGTGACTTAACACATATTTCTTCTGTAACCAAGTTCAGCGACTATCTAAACCTATCAAATTGTGAATATAATATAAAAACGTTTTATTAGCTAAAAACTATAGATAGTATTTGCTCTATCAGGTATCAAAATGTGATTTTTTAATATTGGACTTTAATGCAGTAACTGGTTCTGCAGTTTCCTCCCAGGGTGGATGCCAAGGTCTATGAAATCAATAGACTCTGCAAATCCCGAATAGGGATGAAAACAGAATGAACTGTAGTAATAGAGGACTTGGAGGGGGTGTTACACCTTTCATACCAGATAATTCAAAAGGGGTGTTTCTAAATGGTTTAAACTAGATCATAAAAGCACAAAGGGGTGCCTTTTTATTAAAAAAATGACATACCCAGAAGAAAAAGGTAGCTCTTGGGTAAGTATTTAAAACTTAAAGATGGCTAGAATTGCTGCTCTACACGTCAATTCCTATCCTGAAAGAGAAGTTCTGGCCACTGCAGGCCGGTATCGTCTAATTACGCTATCCTCTTGGTAAAAAGGTATCAGGGTGGACTAACCACTGAGCCGTTTCCGAGTAGGGAGGCAGAGCTGTACTCACCCACACCTAGCGTCTCCTGGTCTCCGGTGACCACACACATAGTTTTGAATGAACTGTTCTTAAAAAAACAAACCTGGTTGAACTAAAGGGGAGGCAAATGCACAAGCCTGGTCCCTAATAAACACCGAGCTGAGCCCTGGCCGGTGTGACTCAGTTGGCTGAGTGCCGTCCCACGCACCGAAAGGTTGCTGGGTTTCAGGCTCAATCCCCAGTGGGGGGCATGCAGGAGGCAGCCGATGGGTGTTTCTCTCTCACATTGATGATTTTCTCTCTCTCCCCCTCTCCCTTCCTCTCTTTAAAATCAATAAAAACATAATAAAAAACAAAAACAAAAAACAAAAACAAAAAACAAACACCAGAGCCGAGCACTAATAAAACCAGAGAAGATAAACATTAGGAACACAGGTCTCTTTTGAACACCTTTATGATAGTGCAGTAATTTTAAAATACGCTTACTTCAACTTCCGGCTGATTTTGGTGAATTCCACCAGCCCAGCTTCCATCGGCAGCGTCAGCTGTCCTGCCGAGATCATCAGCCTGCAGTCTTCATACGTGTGATCAGTCACGGGGATTCCCAGAGCCCTGAAAGCATCAAAAGCAAAGTGAAATGCAATGTTTTAAAACAGGTGATGATTTTGCACTAGGCCTGAATGTGTCAACAAACAGCAGTAAATGGAAAAGTATTTCCTACTTTTTAAACCAGTAGCTTTGGCTTTTTATTGCCAAAGAGACATATTTCTCTGCTTGTTCAGATTTGCTGAACAAGTCTTGTGGCCGGAGGTCGGCAATCTTACGTCCGCAGCTTCTGCAGCCTGTCACGTTTGCTTTGTGTTTTAGCTACGATAACAGCATAACAGTTGACTTCTGTCTCATGGACAGTAACTATTTTACGGAAAACATTATTTTACTTACCAAAATTAATTGGGGACTGAGGATCTTAGGAAGAAAACACCCAAATCCTTAAAACTATGTTACATGTCCTTTAGTAAACACTCTTCAAGCTATCTATTGATTATAATCACATACAGACTCTTACTCTGCCATCAGATTCCGGACTCTGCCAGCAAAAAGGACAGGATCTCTTTTTTCTTCAGCATTCGGCACCTGAACAGGCATAAACTGAAAAATAAAGACACCTTTTTATAACAATTGGCGGGACTCAGACACTAAACGCGAAAGGCATTAATTTATAAGTCACCTATCATTCTCTGAACCCTGCCTTTCAAGCGCATCAGTAACCTGATGGGATGGAAGGAACCCAGAGCTTGGACTCAGGAGCTCTGTCTCCAGGCCCTGGGTCTTCCTATGTGTTAACCAGCATGTCCTTTAACCTTCCCGAACTGTCTCCCCAACTCTCAAAGGCGGGCTCTGATCACCTACCTCCCCGACTGTGGTGAGGGGGAAAGGGGCCCAGGTCTGGAATTCTGGAAGGTGGACACCCGTAGCTGCTAAGATCTCAGAGCTGCATTTTCTACCACTCCCTTCCCTTTGCTGTGAAAATGTTACGATGATGATGACTTTGTCTTTCATAGTTTATCTTTCATCCATTCCTCTATCAGCCATACTTTCCTTTCATGGAACTTCATGTTTTGTAATTTCATCAGCTTTTTTTCAACCCTTAGCGTGGGCTTGCTAGCTTTTCCTTCACACCCTGTTTTGCTTTATTACCATTTAAATTTTTCATTTTTCCCTAGCTGACATCCTGTGATGGCTCATTTACATAACTGTCCTTGTTCTTACTAATAGTTTTCTAACACTAACAGGGTTTTGGAGCCATATGTAAGTTATGACATGTTTTTGAGCATCTACTGTATACCAGGCAAGATCAACGGGACCGTATTCTTGTTCTAAAGAAGACACATATTTTTATAGCACGGACCAGCACAGCATGTGCTAAGTATCACTATTACCCCCAATTACAGACAGGGCTGAAAAGCTTCATTAGCTTATTTAAAGTCAAACAGGTGCCCAGCCAGGCGTGGCTCAGCGGTTGAGCGTTGACCTAGGATCCAGGCGATTGGGGTCTGATTCATGCCCAGGTTGTGGTCTCGATCCCCAGTCGGGGGCGTGCAGGAGGCAGCCGATCAATGACCCTCTCATCATTGATGTTTCCCTCTCCCTTCCTCTCTCTGAAATCAATAAAGATATATTTAAAAAAAAAAAAAAGTCAAACAGGTCACTTGGCAGGAGTCAGACCTAGTCTGGCAAATTCTAAAACCCGTTTTTCCCCACAAAACCATCAATCCTGGAGTATGAGGGTGAGAGATAGGAAATGATTAATTTGGCCAGGAGTGGGCAGGGAAAAGCAGCCGAGCAGGCTTTACAGAGAGGCTGACCTTAGCTTTTTCGGGATAAGCATGATTTCGCCAACAGCTACTGTTTATTGAATTATACCTATGAACCAGGTACTGTGATAAGTGCTTTATATGCATTATTTCATTCCATTGAGCCTCCCAATTTTAGTCATAAGGAATTGGGGTTCACAAAGATCAAATGGCTGGCTCAGGATTCCATGGCTCACTTCCATTCAGTAAGTATGGCTTAGGCGGCTACCTCCTGCCAGGCCCTGTACTCAGGGGCCCTGAAGACATGCCAGTGAAGTCCCTGCCCTCCAGGAGTTTTCCATGTACTGGGGTAGAAGTTTATGACAATGAGCTAAGTCCATCCATTAAGCACCTACTGTGTGCTGAGTACTTTATATTAGGGTCTTGGTAGGATTAACTCTCTTAACAATTCCTTGGGGCACATTCTACCATTTCCATTGGATAGAAGAATGTGGCTAAAAGGGCTTGAACGATATGGCCAAAGCCACACACAAGTGGCAGGGCCACAGTTTGAAAGAAAACGAAAGACTTGTATAAATAACACCCCTTCTGGACTCACATGGACCTGTTTTCAAATCTTGTTAGTCATGTTGAGAAGCCTAGGGGCTATGGTGACTCAGAGATGGAGTGTGAGCAAGGCAGTGACATGACCAGGCCCAAGTTTTTCAGCAGCACCTCTGGTGGTGGAGGTGGGTGAGCCCAAGAGCAAGAGGCTAAGAGCAGGGAGAACCCCACTGCAATCAACCAAGAGACGGTGAGGCCATGGGCAGAGGGAGGGAGGGTGCAGAGGATGGCATGGGCGCAAGTGGAATTTTTAAGATAAAATGGACAGGAATTATAGGATAATCTGCAATATGTCATTTTACTTTTCACATTCATTCTATTAGCATCCTCTCCAAGGGGACAATGGCGTGCTACAGAGATAGTAACCCTTGCTGCCTTGATTTGCCGTGTGGTGCCGGAAACGGCATTAGCCTTACGGCCTCCGTTCCCTCTCCTGTCAAGTGAAAAGTCTGGCTACATGATCACCAAGGTCCTTTCCAACTGAAATTCTGAGTCTAGCTTCCCGTTTAGTATCCAGTTACTCTTTAAGATGGAAAAATATATTAAGCCACCAGAGGTCCCCACATCACTTATATATCCAGAGCACCAAACTCCGCAAATAAGTATTTTTAAAACTTCCCTCCAGTCTGTTCCAGTAAAATCTCTAATATTTGCTTAGTGTAAAATCCAAGGAAGAAAACAGTATGTTAAAATCAATGTTGATAAAACCTCTAACAAAATAGCATAACAGAGTTTTAAATTCCCCGCTCATTCTTCATTTAAGAAAAAAAAGCCAAATGATCATTTATATAGAATACACTTGATTTGTAGCACATACTGAAACCCCAGAAAAATACATCACGGCTCCACTGTTAACCAAACATAATACAATGAACTATGGCTTTGGTTCTTTGAGTACAGATAATATTCTCCACAAAATGATTTTTAATAACTCTTACATTGGCATGGTATTTTATTCTTGAAGGGGGAAAAAAATCTACTGAGAGTAAAAAATAATTAAAAGTCTGGATGTACTGCCCATGGGCCCCAGGCCTACTGAGAAGCAATTCAATGGAAATTCTAGTAAAAAAAAAGTCACCTCTCCTTGGATAAGCCCTTGCCCTCTATATCACATTTCCGTGTTGACAAAGCCTCAGGCTCTCGGCATGCACATACCCTTTATTTGGGAAGAAAGATGCACCCAAGAGGCTAATTAGCTATCATTGTCCCCTGAGACACATCTAAGCACCCCAGCGGCTTCGGAACCCCACGTTTTCCTTTCCACCTTCACTTTCTGTCTTCATCCCCGGCAACCTCACTGATGGCCCATCTGTCATCTGATTTCCCAGCCTCTTTACCTGGCCACAGACATTCTCAATTCTGTATCAGTCGTGGACATGAACATACGACTCCCATCTCCTCCTCTGACAAGTCCCTCAGCCAGAGTCCCCCTTGTTCCCTCTGAGAGTTTACTTCTCCCCTAACCTGGTCCTGCCTAGACTAGGAGAACCCGATGGTCACTCGCAGGGCCCACCCATCCCGCTCTATCCGCCCCTCCTGCAACGTCTGCCTGCAGGTCCACCCTGCTCTTAGCCAGGGGGCGCTTCCAAGGGCCTTTCTGTCACCTGGCATCTCTCACTTCCACCGCACCCATGGTGCCCATCCCAAACCCTCGGTCACCTTTTTTGATCCCCCCGTCTCACTCCTGTGGAGACCACTGAGGGATGCTAAAGAAAAGCGTATGGGCCGAGGCTACGACAAATCCCTGTGAGCTTCCACAGGGTCCCCACGGCTGCTGGAAAACTACTATTTCCCCAAGGCAACCATACTGCCTCAAAACATATCAATGGCTTTTTGTTTGTTTTCTTTTCTGCTGAAGACCCTCCTTTACCTTTGCAGTGTGCCCAACACGTCTCCTTAGTACCGAGTCTGCTTCCTCAGTGTCTACGTGACGGGCGAGGGTCAGGCTCCCTAACCTGGGCTGCATCTCCCTGCTGCCTGGCAGCCCTTCTCTGTCCCGCTCTGATCTGCTGCCATCACGTTTCACTGTTTCAACACGGGCCATGCCTCTCGGGTTGCAACTGCACTTTTCATCTCGAAGGCATCTCACTGTCAACTTCATCGAGGGGACAGTGATGGGGGTCAGGATATGCCACCCCAAAATATGCCACCTGGGTGTTGATTATTTTGAGCTGAGGTCACTTGAAAAGCAGCAAATACAGGGAGAGGCTTTCTCTGTATCCCCTCACCTGCCTGAAGACAGATCCTTCAAAAAGAAGTCAATTGCATGAACCCCCTCCCTCGAAGATTCATCAAACAGGGAGACATCACACGGGGGCGACTTCATCACAGGCTCTCATCTATGCTTCCAAGGGCCCATTTGTCTCTCTGGAAAGTCATTTGCTCTCCCCTAAGTGGCCTATAAGCCTCCCTCCCCCTCGTCTATTAAGATGGTAAATGAGCTCTCAAAATCTCACTTCTTTTAAGAATTCAGTTTTTATTCCCCGTGATGGCCCTTGTGCACAAATTTAAAATTAATCAACCTGTATACCTTTCCCCCTGTTAACCTGTTGCCGGTTTATTTCATAGACTCAGGTATAGAGCCCGGGTGGGGAGAGGGGAGTCTTTCCAGCCCTGCACCAGCCGCTGGGAACCTGAATTCCCTTTCCGTCCGCCTGGGGCCGACTCCACGGCTCCATTCCCTCCTCACTTCCCCCACGACCGCACCATCACCATCCCTCCCAGGTAAGGAGGCCGACGCCCTGCTTCCCACACCAACACCTCTCGTTGGCGCCTTTGTCCCCACCTCCTCCTGGGCCTTCGACTGCACACAAGGTAGAGTCAGAGTCCCCAGCCTGTAATTTAAGACCACCCATCGCCCAGAGCCAGTCCTTCACGAGGGCTCAGACCCGCGGAACTGGTTTACTCATAGTTTCCTGGCCACATCAGCACATCCCTCCCTCCTAATCCATGACTCCGAGGAGGCGAGTCTGATGTGTGATGATATTACACAATCTTATCTTTTTCCAACAACGGAAAAGAACTTGAAGGCTCGGTCTTAACAAACGTGCAACGCTGGTTCTCCCAGGATTCTTCTGTTACATTTTCAAAAGGAGAAAATGCAAAACAAGGAAGGTGCCTGTGAGCAACAACTGCTGCTTCCTTTTCAAAAGAACAGAATAATCTACATGATAAATAAAAGGGGAAATAAAAGTTAATGCTTACTAAGCCCTAGCCCTGTGCCAGCACAGAAGTGACCTTATTAAATCCTAACAACCCTATAAAACGCGTGTGATCCCGTTTCACCAGTGAGAACGCAGGCTGGGAGGTGTCAGTCATTTGCTCAAGCGCATTCCGGTGGCTGAACTGCAAACCCCGCAAGCTCTCTTCTTACCACACCCCACTTCTCCACGGCTGCTCTTTACCAATGCCGACTTCTACCAAGTTCCAGAAGACATTAGCTTCGTCAGAGCAAGCATGTACGTTTGTGATGTGTGTGTGTATGTGTGCTACGGAGTTTCTCTAAAAGGCCCATTTTAGACTCCAAACTGCGGATCATTTTGGTGTATCTGTATATTTAAATAAACTCTATAAATGTATCTGAACCTTCCCTAAGTAATCAGGAGGTTTTAAAAGTGACATAAATCTATAGGTGCTGATCCTAACACTCATGACTAATGACAATCCTTTCAGAAATCAGACAACTTTAATGGAAAAAAAATCCCTTTCTATGACTTAAGGCAATGAATCGCCCATCATAAAGTATTGTGGGTCTAACACCAGTCACTAGCAGCTCACCATAAGCTTGGCAAAGGAATTTTCCTACAGCAAGGTATGTCTGTAAGCCTACAGACAAAACGCTTTGCTATATTAATAATATAATGGATGCTTTGAATGCAAACTGAGATACGGCCTATGAAGAAGAAAAGTGACTGCACAGCAAGGTGAACGCCATGTTTCCATTCAGAAACTAGCTGCGGCCCACACAGTGCCAGAGTCTGACTCCGCAGGCACCCTCTCTCCTGAGATAAACCAACAGGCTCTTAATCGATGTCATATCTTGGGATGTTGCCCACCCTATGCCCTTAAGCCAGACATAGGCTTATTAAGGCACACCTGTCACGTATCTGGCCAGTAAAGATCTTTTACTAAAAGACTCTGTGAGCGCACCCGCCAGGCCACACGCTCATTCAAAGACTAGCTTCCAGCAGAACCATTTGGCGGACACACGTGGCATCACTGTTCAAGGATGCCAGAGGACCAATTCCCCAGGGCATAGGGTCTGGAACTTGTGTTTTTCAGATCCAAAAGTCAAGAAAATAATAACCTTCTCAAAGACAGGTCTCCGTGTAAGGGAAACAAAGGGGAAAGAGGCGGTAAGAAATATTCCTCAGTATTACGTTCTCTTGATTTTAGCTATGCAGTGATTTCCTTAACTGAAGAATCTGACAATCATTAACGAGGGGAGGCTCGTGAAGTACAGGATTCAACCTCTTGAGATGGCCTGTGGCTCACAAGGAGTCTGAAAGGACACTTTAATAATCCACTCGAGTTCATTTCACAAACTGTGAAACTAATGCCACATTCCTGAAGGGTATATCCTGAATTAGGTTCACCTGATTAGTAGTCAAGAATAACTTCTAAAAACATATGTTAAAAAGAATACGCAGGATTCCCATCAATTTTAAAGAAAAAGGAAAGAAGAGGGCGCCTCTGAACAACCAAGACAACTGAACCCAGCCCAGCCAGATGATCGGAGCCGTCTAACTAAGCTACGGAGTGGGGGAGTCAGAGGCAGGGCCCGGCCGCCACGGTCCCCAGCCAGGGTGTGGGTGTGCGCAGCGCCCGAAGGGCTGCTGGGATAGGATGCAGTTTCCAGTTACATCTAAACGGCGGGATTAAAAATACCCAAAAGTCATAAAGTTGTTAGGAGTCCCCTAAGTGAAAGGTAGCATCATAAAGCTAAACTACATATAATTAAAATGAGAATACTGAACTCGAAGTCCACAAATTCCCATCTTCTTGCCCTGCACCACAATTCAAATACATGGAATCCCCACCAATTCAGGTATTTGTAACTGGTAAAAAGCCATTGTATCTGTGAAGTTGTTGGACAAAGGATACATTCTTTTCTTTGTTAGAAAATATTATCTAAACAGGCTAAACAGGTCTGAGAACCGGCTGGAGAATGCAAATATTGTAACTAGGAGGGAGGAGAGAGAGAGACAGAGAGAGAGAGACAGAGAGGAGGGATGGATGGATGGATGGATGGATGGATGGAAGGAAGGAAGGAAGGAAGGAAGAAAGAAAGAAAGAAAGAAAGAAAGAAAGAAAGAAAGAAAGAAAGAAAGAAAGAAAGAAAGAAAGAAAGGAACCCATGACACAGAAAGGAAATGTGGTAACAGTGGTCAGGGTAATAAAATGAGAAATTTGCATACCTCTGTTGTAACACAATTTGACCACTGACACATGTGCTCTATTAAAAAAGTACAGTTCTATGTGCATTTCTGCGTCTGTTGCTACATCTGCGGGAGAGGGGGTACGTTTAGAGGTGATTCAGACGTATAGGAACCCTCTGGAACCCTCTCTTCACAGACTACCTGAAAGTATCAGTAAAACCAACCAGATTCTGAATTCAGGGGTCCATCCCGTACCATTCCTAGAAACTAAGAATAGTTCCGGAAACAGCTTTGAATCTTAAAAACATGGTCAGAATTTTCAGAATGACCTAATGACTCCTCCATTCCCCGTCTGTCACTGCAACTCCAACCAAAAGACTGTCCCGTGAACAATACGAGCTGCCTCCCCGATACGACTGCCTTGGGCTCTCCGTGTGCTTCTGACCTCGGAGGCCGTCCCACGACCAAGCAGCACCTCAGCTCTGTGGGGCTCCCAGCTTCTGTGCCTCCTCTGGTGGGGGCCTGAAGGTGCACTGTTTACCTTGGCAGAGGGCAGCGTTGAAAGGAATTAAGGCATAGAAATGGGTGGGGCGAATCTGGCCGGCCAGACTGGTTACCCGTCGGAGGTTCCCAGAAGTTAGAGGTGTTTCCTGACACAATCCTAAGGGCTAGGCCTGATCGCCTGGGCTTAGGTACACAATTTGTACACAGGGCTTATTTGAAAGATGGTGTGTTTAACTTCTGGACTTTGCACATCCGGTCTCTCTGGACAAGGTATTCAAACTAAAAGGAAAGGCCACGTTTTGAATGACTTACCTCAACTTCCACCTTCGTGAAGGGCTGGCAGAAGGTGAGCACACAAAGCTGAAAGCTGAAGAGGGAAAAGAGAAGACCCCTTTATATGGAATACAAGGATCGTCTAATATTACTCACCAACCCCTTCTCCACACACAGCGCCCAGGCCACGCCTCATACGTATCTGGGGTTTACAAATGCTACCCAGCAGCTATGACACTCCTTGGGCTTAGAAGACTATTCCTGATGTTCAAAAGTTCAATCACTACCTGTAAAACCATGTATGTATTTGTGAGTCAGAGCTGCAGCTCAGCAGACTGAACCCCAAATTTGAAGTCTCCTAGACAACTCAGGCTCAGAGGCCTAAGTGCCTAGAGAAACGACTCAAGGCCACATTGTAAGGTGCATAAATGTGTTTACAGGATAACTCCTGAGTAGAACTTTACATTGCTAACCTCTTTTCTGATATTTAAAAAACAAAAATCAGCTGGCCTTTCTTAAAAGCAGAAACTTGATCCTAACTGTCTCAGTTACTAATAAATGTTTTCATTGTGGGGAAATTTCCTGAAAAGTTTCGCATTTCATGGCAACGTGAGACAAGTTTTCATGAAGGGGATTATAATCAACCCTCTCAAAGATAATTTTTGAAAGAGTTGTTCCAACTTGAAGCTTTCTAGTATATATTTAGACTCTCCGGATAAGGTTCCTATAGGGATTTAATTTAGCCTCACTTAGACAGATGACCCAGAAAGCTGGCCACGTGGATTAGACAACACGTTTATAAAAACAACCAGCCAACCTCCTTATTTTACTATTCAGAAACTAAAATATGATTTAACTGTAAAAAAAAATTACTGAAAGGGCCTTAAGACAAAAACTTTAGGAATTTAAACAAGGAATTGAATTAAAGAGGAAATTTAGGAAATAGATCTACCAATTCCATAAAATTAACTATAAATTGTTACTATAAGTATCAGTTCTCAAACCATCACCTGCAAGGGGGAAAAAATCGTTCACTATCAAAGGAAACAAAACCAACCCATATGGTCTGCCCATAAAGTAAATTATTCTTTAATTATTTAAAATTGAGTTTGGAAGTCAGTGGTTCGAAGAGATGATTCCGTTCTGAAAATTCTGAATGCTATGTAGAAAAATAAACAGAATCACACCTAAGGTCTCATTACGCCTGTGTTGTCCACACTCCACACAAACCAAACAACACTTTCTAGAATACACGCCTTCTCAGTTTCCCAGGTTCACCGGTCCCCTCCCTCGGGGTACCTGCTCTGGGGAAGAACTCCTTCCTGAGGGTCTGAGTGCAGAGCAAGGCGCCTGAAACCCTGATTAGCAGGAACAGGCACGGTGCTAAATACGCCACGGAGCGGACGGGACCACAAACACGAACGTGGGAGCTCCCGCAGGCCCGTGGCACGTGGCTTTCGGACAAAACAGAGTGGGGCCTTTTGAAGAATTTGTGTTGGTTGCTAGGTCTGAAGAAATCTTTAACTCTGACAATTTGTGTGGGGTTTTTTCTGAATTCTCTCTCCTATTTCCTTTCCCCTTGATCACACACCTCCCAGGTTAGAAGGCTAGATTAAGTGAAGTCCTCTATTTCTAACCCTGATGCCACTTCCAGAAAAGCCTTCTCTTGTCTGACCTTCACATCTACCAGGACAAAAAAAAAGTCACGTTGAACAGTAAACCCAAACTCACTGTCTCCTTAAGGAGCTCAACTGGGACAGGGCCCAAGGAAATATAAATACACTGTCCACCCAATTTTCTAAAATGCTCTCATACTACTTGTTTCTCCTAACTTTCCCTGCATAAAAGCTGAAAACCAGTCATTCACAACGAGTAGTGCCATGAAACTTGTATTCTGGCCAGATGAACAAACTGATCTCCTGAAGAGTTAACAATAATGTAATGTCTAGATAACCTTGACGATTTATGTTCTTTATTTTTGGTGTCATTTACTTTACTTCAAGGACTGGAGTGTAAGAGGAACATACGTATCTCACAGGCTAACCAACATTAACAGATGTAACTGGTTGAATAGTTACCTATTCTGACTTAAATTTATTATTTCAAAGCAATTCGCACATATAAAATGGAGAAAGTGAGTATAAAAATACGACTTTCAGAATTTGTTCAGATTGTCTAACAGGTTAGTCTAAGGGAGCCCACAGTACACTTGAAGGCAAATGATTTCCTTTTAAATATTTCCAAGTGGTTGTCACCTGTCCATCAACACTGTTACTTGAATTCTGTGTATAACAGTATCACAAGGCATTGCTGGGAAAGCCCCTGGGCAAAGTCCTCAAATCCGGGTGTTTCACACATTTCTCGCCAAAATGGAAACACGCTTCGGACAGAAAGTGAGACTCTACATATTACATCCTATTTAAAGGCCAATTTCACTTCAGCCTGTTTAAGAGTGAAACTGTATTCCTTTCCTCTCTGAAGGGTTTTCAGAAACTGCTGAGCCCTATGTTTTTACATCCAGAATGGAACTGAAAGCTTGGTTAGCTATTTCCTCAACTCACATTTCAGATCATATGACTAAATTGCTCTGGACTGCTTAAACCTATATATATATTTCTATATACCTATCGATATATATAGAGTAAAATAACAATGAAGGCCTTAGATAGTGCTGAATCTGCAATGAAAAGGAAACTACAAAATTAAAGCTAGAGATGATGCAAACTAGGTCCCTGGAATGTCCCCGAGAGTTGGCAGATAAACGCTGAAGGCCCGCTGGAACACGAAGCGGCTTGGATTCTGTCCGTGGGGGCACCGGGGTTAATGGCAAAGGCAGACATGCTCTCTGTAGACACTTATCAGCTACAAGATTTCCATATCTGATTAGAAAGCTACTTTCACAAAAACAAGTCGGTTTTTTAAAAAAAACTTTCTTTTTCTTCACTAGAATAAAATGTCTATAAATAATAGATACGAGTGACTTACAATGTATATCCTTGCCATGTCCAAGTCACAGTATCCTACAATAACAAAAGTATTTAAACTGTTAGTTCAGTGAATATCATATGAAACAAAACCTGATTTTAATATTGGTATGCATGTACTTTCTACATTAAAAGCATTATGCTGAAAAACAAAACAAGTAGATTATTATTGTTAAACAACAGCGAACTGCTCTATGCATTCCTGGACTGCGTATCTACATAGCAAAGATCCGTCTCCCTTATATAACCACCTTTTTACAGAGCAAAGTTGTTCTGAATTTTTAAAAACCTATCGTGCATGCTTAGCTATTTTTCTCTGAATATGAGCAGATCTGGATAATGAATTTGCTTACAAAACCCAAAATACATCAGTTGAGAGAGAAGGAGACAGAAGAATTTGGGAGAAAAGCTTAAAGTAATGCAAAGTGCAGGCATTTGAATAAATGACAAATGCAAACCCACAGTCAGAAATACAATGACTAAAAGTCTGACAGATTTTCACTTTAACTACAGATGTCCAAGGTGGAGAAACCAGCCACTGAGTAGAAAGTTGACGTGATCAAAACCCCTTAATCTTCAATAATGTAGGTAATTAATAATTACATCTTGCCTTTTCATGGCAATTCCTTAGTAAATAAAGTTCCTCTCACAACCAAAACATCCTCCAAAACCTGTGTTCAGGGAAATGGTAACACAATGAATGTCCAGGAGACAACCGTGGGCCTCACTGGAGCAGAGACTATGTCCTGAGCCAACTGGGGACTTTCTAGAGGATTTTAGATTCTTTTCAACTATTGTCTTATTGAAGCTACTTGCCAGGAGTCGCACAGCTAGTAAGGACTGAGCCAGGAATTAAACGCCAAGCCTGTCCCGAATGTATCCTGCCCCTACAATCCTTGTCCACCCGGCGGCAATGACCGGTGACTCCGGGAAAGTTTCCTCCTAGGCTTAATGAAAATCACAAATCTATGCAAGTTTTCCGCTGAGACCCTGAATCGGAGACTTCATCATAGCACCACAGTGACAACAGAGCAGAAGCCACGGAGGTGTCCTCATGGGACTTGGGAGCGGCAAAAGCAGAATGCAATACTGGCATCGACAAGTACAGGCCTGTCTTGCCAACTTTAAAAACCAAATGAGGCAAGGGGGGTGAGCCTCTCCATGGGCTCCCGCCACTTAGCTGTTCAGACCTTTATTCAACTATTCGAAGGGGCCCTCGGGCCCGGTGCCGTTGGCAATGTCTGAAAGCTTCCCACAGTGAAGTACGATGCTTACCAGCTCGTTTGGGTACCGCAGGAGGATTGGCTGCACGGGAACTCCTGGAATGAAGGCTCCTATAACCATGATGGAGTTTTGTTACGTGGGCTTTGTGCGAGCACCAGTTTTACAACAGAGAAAAAACTAACAAGAAACGACACACAAGTAACTGAACGTTTTAAGAGTACACGTAAGAAACTATTTGCTGAATGTTGGTAAATCCCTGGTGTTTACCAAAATGATTTTGAAAATTCAGAATTATGTAAGCAAAGTATTAAATGTGGTGCCCAAATCACTTAAAATATTCATTTATTGACATCTCCATTTGCTTGCATTTTCCAAATACCTATTATTCGATGGAATTATTTTAAAGTAATCACAAAAATCAAGACAAAGACAAAGTGAGAAAAATGTAGATGAAACCCAATGCTTGAAGCATGAACTACCACGGCTGACAAAAGTGAGCTCAAACTTTGGCTCTGAGCATCCTGACAGCCAATACAGAAACATTTTAGAGCATTACCAATTACTATAAAATTAAATGTAAAATTACACAATTACTCTGAAACTCAAGGCTTGATACTATTAAAAAATGAAGTGAACCGTAGAAGGCATCATAATAGTCATTGAAATAGGTGAAGTCTAAGGGGTTATGATACCAAAAGAGAAAGTAAAGAAGCACGTTCTGTTCTGCGGCTTCATAACGTTAAGAACTTTTACTGGAAAAGAAGTGAGACTCAGAGTTGTTCTGTGTACTCCTATCAAGTCATTCGAAAAAGCTTCCACACCACTTTGTCATAATACGTAATTTAATTGATCTCACCTGGTTTAAAAGTAATCAAACAGGAGCGATTAGTACAAGTACCTTCTGGGAAAACTAGTATCTTGGGAGAAAAGGAATAGATTTAATATTTCAGTCTAATTCATTGATTAGCCCATTATTCACGTTCTCATTACGTCACAGATAGCTGCCAATTCTTATAAAACAGAGACGAACTCTAAGGCTGACCCGTGATTCTAAGGAAAGCGACAATCAGATGATAGGTGTTTGGTTTTCCTCTGAAAGAAGGGCCGTCTGACCGTTAAGATAATCAGAAAATGGATTAAAGCTTTGAATGGAGTATAGATACACTTAGCAAATGTTTCTTGATGATACTCAGGGTCCGAATAGCCTTAGAAGGCGATGTGGACCTAAGTCATGGTCGAGTGGACATGCAGGGGACAGTACATCTTTCTGAACCCAGACGTCTCCCGCTCCCTCCAAAAGGCATCACTCCCAGCAATATGCGCGGGGAGGCAGGGAGGAGCTAGCGGCCTACACTGTGCTTTGTGGTTCTTGAATTAGCTGACACATGAAACACAACTTAATATCTTTCTGAGGAAGTGTCGTTAGCTTGGAATGTACTTTCCCACGTTTTCCATGTGAAAGGTAGGCAGTCAGTTTCCCATTCGCTGAATGAAATGGCAACTTGATTTTCTGAAGCATTTGGAATTTAGCAATGGATAAATTGCCAAGTACGTAAAACAAAATAGGAAAGTCCTGCTCCCTCAACAGCTAGTAAAGTGTATTTTATAATAATTAGACAGAGAAACATCATTAGGCTAACTCACCACCATAAAAGGTTATTTGTAAAAAAAAAAAATTATGAATACATGCCATTCCATCTTCTAATTGAAAAAGAAATCGGTTTCCTGTGACAATGGGATCCAGTATCAACCATGACTCATTCAGTGCACATTCTATAGCTACACAGTTAACAATGAATCATGAAGTCTCAAGCTGGAAGGGGCATTACAAGTCATCCAGCATTTCTAATGCTTGAATTCTTTCTACAATACCTGCTCCCTCGAGTGGCTGCTTAGGCAGTGCCCGAAAATTCCAGAAGAGGATTCCGAATCAGACGACTCTACCTCTGCACAGGAAGTTCCTTGAGACGAGCAAAATGAGCTGAAATCTACTTACGAGTCAACTCACACCTACCAGTCCTGGATACATTCCTTGGATCCAAACTGAAAAATGGAAGCCTTATTCCAAATGCCACTCCCTCCTAGTTACCTTTTAAACCATTCCTCACATGCCCTGGTTTCTACAACCCGGTTGAGCACACTCTCCTGGGTGCTAACATTTCCACATCCTCACAGGTGGCCAGATCGCTGCAGGACCATTGGTTCTGGGCAAAGGTAGAAAAATACTTACCAGCATCACCCCCAGGGCTTTCTTTATCCCATCACATTGCCCCTCCCTTGCCTTCAAAAGGCATTCATCCCAGGGGAGGGGGTGGCGAGATGGTCAAGTGTGAAAAGATTCTACAGGTGATTCTGAGATGCCCCCTGAACTGAAAACGCTCCTTCAGATAAGAGGCAAGCTCTTACTTTTCAGCAAACCCATCACATGGTTGAGCATGACTGAGCATTAGTATTTCATCATTTAAAAGGTAAGTAAATTCAGAGGTAGGGAATTACTTTTTATAACACAAAACAGAAGTGGGTTCAGAGAATAGAAAAAGGGTGATACATTTAATTCCATGGAGTATCTCATGGGGAAGGGGACTTCTTAAGGCTCACTCATTTATTCTGCTCTCTGTGGATCCAAGCGAGTATGTTTACAAGTGTACAATAAATAAACTCTCAATATATTTACGTCAACATCTACAGTGTTTTTTTTACCTGGGGCCACTCCCCTCCTGATGTTGCTCGCCTTATTATTTCATTTATTGTGTTTTTTCGGGAGTCCGGGTCTATGCGGGATACCAGCACTGGCTGCAAAGCCCGTAACAGTCCTTTAAAACAAACAAAAAATCACAGCCAAGCCTTTTTTTTTTTTTTGGCGAAAGCTACCAAAGTAAATCATTGGACAAATTTTATGGAAATTAAAATGAGAGCAAATAAAAAAGAGCAATCTTATTAAAAACTCCTCTAATTCAAAGTTTATTAGAACTTAACTCCTGGTTTCAAAAGCAGAGGTGGATATTTATACCTAAAAATATTTAATTGATTTACTAGAAATTAGCAGCAGAAATATGAAAAGCAGCAAATGCAATTTGCTCCCTAAAGGTCGTCTTCCTCAATTGACATTAAATCTTTGAAATGCTCTACAAGATTACCTAGTTCATCCTGAAAACTGGTTATGTGAATTCATAGTACACAGGAGTTGAAAACAATTATTATTCATTTTACTAAAATTTTCAGCACAACAGTCTTCTAAATGCGTAACTTCCTAGCACAGGGCAAATAAATCTCAATTTACCAAAATTCTATTGCTACACAACTTTTCAGGAAAACACCTTATTACGTAAAGCAGGGAATTACATTGAGAAAGAGTGTCTTTCTTAGCTAAATGGATTAGTATGATTTCTGCAGGCAACATGAGGCAACTTTTACACTCACTCTCTCATCACTTGACGCCTGCAATGACCTTGGGACAACAGGGAGCAGTTACTTGGAGACTAATACCCTAGGGAGAGATCCAAGCATCTGGTGGGAAAAACATTTCACTTGCTTCATTATTTTTTATGGCAGGAAGCACTTATTGTTCCACATCATAATTTTCAAAGAGTTATACACTGGTCCCTCATGGAAACTTGGGGGAAATGAAGAAAACAGAGTTAGGACAAAAAACATAGTGTTCATCGGCCTAATACCTGGAAGAGAAATTAATGAAATAGCAGCAATGGGTGTTTCCACAAATTCTTTGGTTAAAGTCTTTCTAAAAAAAAAAATCAAGCATGTTTGGTATTGGAAAAACTGGTCTTTCGTGTATAAGAACAGAAAGAGATACTGGTACAGTGCTAAAAATAAGATTTTAAAAGAATTATAAGGGAAGTCTAATTTTTTTTCATAAAGTCATTCTTTCAATATAGTAACTCACAGAAAAAAGGAAATATGTTTGAAATTTTTATTATTTTTAAGTCTCTTAAAAGCCTACCAATAAACTAAATCTGATATTTATAAATCATGACAGTGACAATATTTTATCTACGTTACCTTACAAATACTTACTGCCAATCAGAGGCACCTGCGCATTCTCATTCCGAGAAACCATGGACGGCAACCCAGCTGCGACACAGGCGATGCCATCAAAGAATGACGAGTGGGGGGCAGCAACGAAAATCGGCGCCTCCGTAGGACTTGCGATCTTTCCTTTCACGGTAACTACAAACCCCATGGAAAAGAACATGGCACGGCCCAGAAACTTCAAAACTGGCTGAGTAATTTTCCTTTGAATAGATAGATAGAAAAGGCAGAATTAGCTTTGCTCATTGCAGCTAATGCTGGGCTTGACTCTAAAACACGAAGACACAATGTGAAAACCAAAACATATCAGAACACTTCATTTTAAAATACGCTAAGAATAACTAACACTTCCATGGAGTGCTTTCTGCCAGGCACTATTCTAAATACTCTACATATATTAATTTCTTTAATCTTCAGCTCAATTTTATGAAATAGGTATTATTTATTATCGCCATTTTACAGATGTGAAAACTGAGGCACAGAGAAGTAATTTTTCCCAGGACAAATGGCTAGTAAGTGGCTCCATTCTTCTGTGACTCTAAAGTGAAAAGAATGAATTTTCAACACATACCCTTCCGAGGAACTCAGATCAGTACAGCCCTTCAAAGTAACCACCTTGGGAATCCACATTTGTGTAACAAAGATGCGGTTATCTCCACAAACCGTTTTAGAATTCTCAGGCTGAAACTGTCCTCAGAGTTATTTTAGGAATAATTTTTTAAAAGCCAGCCTTCTGGGGGTGGGGTGGGGGAGTGAGGAGAGATTAACCAAATACTTTACGTGCATAACCCACGGACACAGACAATCGTGTGGGGAAGGCCTGGGGTGGGGAGTAGGTAAGGGGTGGACGGGGTCAATGGGGAAAAAATGGGACATCTGTAATATTTTCAACAATAAAGAAAAATTTAAAAAATAATAATAAAAAAATAAAAGTCAGCCTTCTAAGACATCATCAAGAATCTTAAGAAAATTCACCATCACACTCCCTTGGAGCAGAGATGCACTTAAACAATTCAGGAAATCTAATTGCTGACTTTTTCAAAAGAATCTGTCATTAAAGATTAATTAATTCACAAACTGTGCCAGGAACTGTGCTGGACACACAAGACGAGTAAGGTCCAGTCTCTGTCCTTGATAAGCTCAAATGAGTAGGGAAACCAAAACATGCTCCTAGAAATGGAAACACAGGATGGGCATCTCAGTATATAAATAGGCCTATAGCTTTTCATGAAAATAAAATACTACATATGTCCTCCCATAAGACAACTAATGAGAGCTTTTAAAAATGGGCTTTCTATCTAATTTTCTCAACAATCTTATAATGTTATAGTGAGGAACTCTTAAGCAATTAGCTACTGAGGAAGTTAGTCTGACTTCTATTTCACAGTAAGGAGAAATGAGACACAGAAAGCCAAAGTACTTTCCCAGGGGGCACAGACACATGGCCATATCTCTCTCCTTATTGCCCTTTCGTTTAGAGTTAAGATTTCTATTTAGGTAAGGCTTTTTTAGAGTTTCCACATCTCCTATTTCTGATCTATAGCCATGTAGTTTCTGACAACTACATTCCAAAGTATCCCATATTCAAGGTCACTAAACACTTCTATTTTAAATGTTTTAAAAAATGACTAAAAATCCCAAAGGGTATGAGATCCTTCTTCTTTATAGCTGCGTAGTATTCCATGGTGTGAATGTCCCACAGCTTTTTATCCACTCATCAACTGATGGGCACTTGGGCTGTTTCCAGATCTTAGCTATTGTAAACTGTGCTGCTATGAACATAGGGATGCATAAGTTCTTTCTGATTAGTGTTTTGGGGTTATGCTAAGGGAAATAAGCCAGTCAGAGAAAGACAAGCACCACAGGATCTCACTCATATGTAGAACCTGATGAACAAGACAGATCCAGAGATATAGAACCATGGAGCAGTCAGACGAATTTCAGAGGGAAGGTGGGGGTGGGGAGTGGCGGGGGAGATTAACCAAATAGCTTATATGCATATATGCATAACCCACGGACACAGACAATAGTGCGGAAAAGACCTGGGGGGTATGCCGGGTGGAGGGGATAAATGGGGGGAAAAGGGAACATCTGTAATACTTTCAACAATAAAGAGAGAGAGAGAGAGAGAAAGCAAGCTAAAAATCTAGTGTTACATAATAACTCCAATGTCACCTGTTTGAGAGGAGGTAAATATACTGGCTTAACTGACAAAAGTAGGACTTTCTTTTTCAATATTATTTTATCTGTTTTCTGGATTTTTAGGCTATTCCTTCCCTGATCGTAGGTTTCCATAAGCCACTAACAATAGCAACCAGGGAAATTATTGAAAGGAATCAGTAAGTGATGAAAAATGTCACTTACAGTATGTTTTCAGTGACATACAACCTTGAGCTAGTTATAAAACAAAGGAGTATGATCTGCAAGCACTGAGGTGGTATCATTTCTCCCAGGACTGAGGTGCTATCATTTTTCCCAGGACCGAGGTGGCATCATTTCTCCCAGGATTGAGGTGGTATCATTTCTCCCCAGCCACTGCAAGGCATGGATTTATTTCTAGTTCAAATCAGCTTTGTGTTTCATGTTGACATTTGTTCACTAAAACGTGAATTGAACAACAAATTGTATATTTCTTAAAAAGTTTCTAAAACAGTGCTTCTCAAAAATTTTGGAGGACATATTCTCATTTGAGGTTTAGATGAGAGGAATAGACCCTTGCGTACAAAAAAACCCCCAAAACCCACAACACCCAATGTGCACAATTTTAGAGTGTAATTGTGCCCTAAAACCCATCTATGGATCTCTCTGAAGTCCAAGGAGTCCACCGGAAAGGCCTTCACTTTTAGAACATACGTATGGCCGCTGCCCAATGGGAATGGACTTTTACTCATAACTTTAATTCATCACCAGTCTATTTTCTAACACCACGCTAACCACATGCTGGAAGAGCAGTTCCAGTGGGCCTCAGTGCTTAACAAAGCTAGGCTATACTGATCAATAATTAAATTGCTGCTAATAATAATCACTGAAATAATGAATTAATACACTATAACCGATCCACTTAATTATATCACTTAATAAAGTATGTAGTTATTATAGAGGGATAAAAGCAAATGTGAAAACTGAGGAAGAGCAAAACATACAAACAAAAAAGCCAGGTGTTTTCCAACCTCAGTGGTTTCAGGTATACTAACTGGCTCTTTGAGAACCGGGGACCTATCATTCCTTGGCAATAAATATTTTAATACTAGGAAATAACTTCGACAAAAGATTATCTGTTCTTGGGCAATAATTTCTACATATGATAAATTAAGAACACTTTCATCTGAGAAACAAGAATAAATAATTAAAATTGAGTGGGTAGCAGTCAGATAAAACTACTGATCACTAACTAAAGGTCTTAATCGTAATTTACTTAGTATTTAGACATAACTATTTCTTACCTCCTCCAACCGGTCAATGGATGGGTCAGCTTTTCAGGACAGCATACTGTTGAAACTGCAGCAAATGGCCATGCCAGTAATAAAACTAATGCCAGCAATAAGGCACGAACTGGAAGCAGGATAATTCCAAGAAAGAAAGTCTGAAAGTCAAAGTTGATAAAAATAAGTGTCCATATCGTTTGAAAATGCCGCTGGCAATGAATGAGAGTTTCAGCCACTGTACATCTTGGCGAACATTTGTTGTGGGTAGTCTCTTTAAAATATCAACTTTATTAAGATATCATTTACATAAAATAAAATGCACCTATTTTAAGTGTATAGATTGAGTTTTCCAAATGTATATTGCTATGCAAACACCACCAAGATCAAGATATAAAACCCCCCGAAAAAGGTCCCTTGTGCCTTTCAGCAGTCAACACACCCTCCCCAGCCCTCGGCAACCACTGAGACTTTCTTTCACCATAGTCTTTTCCTGTTCTAGACTGTCATACAAATGAAATCACACAGTCTGTACTTTTATGTCTGGCTTCTTTCACTTCATAGTTTTGAGATTCAATCATGCTGTCATATGTATCAGTAGTATGGTCTTTTTCATTGCAGAATATGATTCTATTGTATGAACAGATTACAGTTCACTTACCCATTCATCTGTTCATGGACAGTTGGCCTTATCCTAAGTTTTTAACCATGAACATTAATGTTCAAGTCCCTGTGTGAACATATATTTTAATATCACTGAAAGTGAAATTGTTGGATCAGGCTATGCTTAACTTTTTAAGAAACTGCCAAGCTGTTTCCCAAAGTGGTTGTACCATTTGACATCTCTATGAACAAAGTGTGAAAGTTCCTGTTGCCCCACATCCTCACTGACACTTGGTGTTGTCAGTCTGCAGCGAGTTAAGGGGTGAAAAATGCTATCTCACTGAGGTTTCAACTCACGCTTCCCTGATAAACAATGATGCTGAGCACCCTTTTCAGGCGTTTGTTGGTCATCCCTTCAACTTCTTATTTTAAGTGTCTGTTCACATCTTGGGTCTATTTTTATTGGGTTGTTAGTCTTACACCAGTTTGTAGCAATTCTTTTTATGTTCTATATAAAAGTCCTTCCTAGGAAATCTTTACCTACCTCCAGGTAATGAAGATGTTTTCTATTTTCTTCTAGAAGCTGTATGATTTCAGCTTTTATGTTTCAGGCCATGTCCACCTAAAATGACTTTTCTGTGTGTGGTGTGCCATAGTGATCAAGGTTCATTTATATTCATAGATTTATCTAGTTTTTCCAACACCATTTTATTTCTATTTTACTGAGAAAATTTTTAAGCATCAGTAGATGCTAAATTTTGTCAAATGAGATAATGAAATTTCTGCATCTACTGAAATGATCATATGCTTCTTTTCATATGTTTTGCTAATATGATGAATTACGTTGAAATATAAATTTTTGCATGTTAAACCAACCTTGTATTCCTCGAATAAACCAAACTTAGGATATATTATCTCTCCTACATATTGCTGTATTTGACCTGCTGATATTGTTATATCTGTAACATGAAGGAAACTGGTCTATAATTTCCCTTTATTATAACATGTTTTTTCAGACTTTGAAACAATGTTAGCCACATGTTTTTATATATTCTGTCTTCACTTTCATTCATCTCAAAGTATTTACTAGCTTTTCTTATGATTTCTTCTTTGAACCATTATTATTTTTTTATTTATCTTTATTGTTGAAAGTATTACAGATATCCCCCTTTTTCCCCCCATTGACCCCCTCCAACCCGCATTTGCCCCGTCCCCAGGCCTTCACCACACTACTGTCTGTGTCCAACAGTTATGCATATATGCGTATAAGTTCCTTGATTAATCTCTCCCCACCCACTCTCCCACCCTTACCTTCCCTCTGAGATCCCTCAGTCTGTTCCATGTTTCTGTGTCTCTGGATCTATTTTGTTCCTCAGTCGATTTTGTTTATTAGATTCCACATATGAGTGAGATCATGTAAAACTGAGGAAGAATCAGAAAACCTGAATAGGCCAATAACAGCTGATGAAATCAGAGCAGCAATAAAAAAAAAAAAACAACACCAAAAATTCCCAGCAAACAAAAACCCTGGTCCAGACAGCTTCCCAGGGGAGCTTTCTAATTCTTTAAGTTATAAGGTTAGATAGTTGACTAAAAATTTTTCTTGCTTTTTGAGGTAGGCCTGCAGTGCTATGAACTTCCCTCTTAGGATTGCTTTAGCTGTGTCCCATAGATACTGGTTTGCTGTGTGTTCATTTTCATTTGTTTCCAGGAAGTTTTTTATCTTTCTTGATCTTATCGGTAACCCATTTATTGTTTAATAACATGCTATTTAGCTTCCATGTGCTTGAAAGTTTTGAGTGTTTTTGCTATAGTTGATTTCTAATTTCATGCCCTTGTGACCTGAGATGCTTGACATGATTGCAATCTTCTTGAACTTGTAGAGATTGTTTTGTGTCCTAACATGTGGTCTATCTTTGAGCATGTCCCATGTGCACTTGAGAGGAATGTATATTTTGCAGCTTTGGAGTAGAATGTTCTCTAAATAGCAATTAAATATGACCTAGTGTGCCATTTAGAGTCACTGTTTCTGTGTTGACTTTTTGTCTGGAAGCTCTATCCAGTGAAGTCGGTGAGGTGCTGAAGTCCAAGACTATGACTGCATTGCTGTTGACCTCTCCCTTAAAGTCTTTAAGGTTATTACTGATAGGTCCTTATTTATTGCCATTTTAATTCTTTATGCCTATGTTTCTCTATCTCTTATTATTATTACAGCAGTCCCTGTAACATTTCTTGCAATGCTTCTATTTCTACTTCTAATTACAACAATCCCTTTAACAATTCCTGCAATGTTGGTTTGGTGGTGATGAACTCCTTTAACCTTTTTTGTCTGGGAAGCTCTTTATTTCACCATCTATTTTGAATGATAGCCTTGCTTGGTACAACAGTCTTGGTTTCAGATCCTTGCTTTGCATTACCTTGAATACTTCATGCCATTCCCTTCTGGCCTGTAGAGTTTCTGATGAGAAATCAGCTGACAGCCTTATGGGAGTTCCTTTGTAGGTAACAGCTTGCTTTTCTCTTGCTGCCTTTAGATTCTCTCTTTGTCTTGAATTTTTGGCATTTTAATTATGATGTGTCTATAGGCCTCTTTGGATTCTTCTTTTGCCTTTAGATTCTCTCTTTGTATTGAATTTTTGGCATTTTAATTATGATGTGTCTATAGGCCTCTTTGGATTCTTCTTGCTTGGGACTCTCTGTGCCTCCTGAACTTGTGTGACATTTTCTTTCACCGAGTTAGGGAAGTTTTCTGCCATTATTTCTTCAATCAGGTTCTCTAACCCTTGCTTACTTTTGACCTCTTCTGGCACTCCTATGATGCGAATATTGTTATATTTCATGTTGTCCCACAGCTCCCTTAGACTGTTTTTTAATTGTTTTTTCTTTTTGGATCTCTGGTTGAGTGATTTTTTCTACCCTGTCTTCTAATTCGTTGATCTGATCATCAGCTTCCTCTAATCTGCTGTTTATTCCTTCCAATGTATTCTCTATTTCTGCTATGTCATTTTTCATTTCTGACTGGTCATTTTTCATAGTTTCCATATCCTGTTTCATGCTGTTGAGCATCCTTACAATCAGTATTCTGAACTCTATATCTGATAGATTACTTATCTCCATTTCATTTAGCTATTTTTCTGGAGACTTCTCTTGATCTTTCATTTGGGGCTTGTTTTTTTGTCTCCCCATTTTGGCTGCCTATTTGGGTTTGTTTCTATGTATCAGGTAGGCCAGCTAGGACTCTCAGTCTTTTTGGAAGGTCTCTGGAGCAGACCAATATCAGACACTATTTGTGACTGGCCTTGAGTACCCTATTTGGAGCTATCAACAACCCATGGCTTGAGGTCTCCTCTGTTGGGGCTGGGTTCGTTTGGTTAGGACCAAAATGCACACCAAAGTCTGCTTTTCCAAGGCCCATGTCAAGAAGCAGATCAGGTAAAGACTCAAAGTGCTCTGAGGTCTGCTTCTGCCTGCAGGCTGATTAATCTGATTCTCCTAATGAACCTCAGGCTGTAGAAACTCCTCTGGGTAGGGCCAGAGGTTTTCCAGCAGGGTAGGGCAACTGTTTCCCCCTCAGGCAAAAGCTGCTTGGGAGGTAAATGTCTGCCTGTGAAAGATGTCCTGTGCAGTATGGGAAATGACTTGGCACAGGAATCCAGAGGGGTGCTCTCTTAGCTCTATCTCCAGAGCCCACAACCCTAGATTCTCCTCACACACAGCTCCAGTCCACTCTGCCCTCCCTCTGCTGGTGCCCAAGATAAGTGGCTGCACACAAAACTTTGTGTGTTGGCTCTTTAAGAGGGTGCCTGCATTTCCAGTTGTCTCTCCCTGGCAGACAGACACCTGGCTGCTTTTCACAGCCAGATGTTATGTGGGCAACTTTCTCAGTTCTGCTTCCCTTGGCTGGGAAGACTAGCCTGGGGGTCAGGCCACAGAGTCCTCAGTGGGAACCGCCCACAGCTGAGCTATCCCTGTGGAACTTCAGCTGCTGCCTGTGGGAGCCCAGCCAGCCCTCTTGAGCCTCTGCACTTCCTACCAGTCTCTATGCAGTCTCCACTTTTCCTCCTTGGTTATGAGGGTGCTCTCCAGCTCGTCTTCAGTTGCAGTTGATTATTCAGGATGGTTTTCCTATATTTTAGTTGTAATTCCAGTTTGGTCCCAGGAGAATGTCAGTGTAGCTTCCTCTCAGTCCACCACCATCTTTAATCTCCTAATTATGTATCTTCTTGATGAATCAACCCTTTTATCATTATAATATGTTCTCTTTTATCTCTATATTTCTATCTTTATGTTTATTTTACTTAATATTAATATAGCCTCTCCAGTTCTCTTGGTTGCTATGGTATATCTTTTTCATCCTTGTACTTTCAACCTATTTGGGTCTTTGAATTACAAGTGTGTCTTTTGAAACAGCATAAAGTTACAAGCTTTTTCTTGTAAGATTCTTGGTTAGCTTATTGTTATGCCCTGATCATTATTCGTTGCCTCAGGTAAGTGTGCTGTTAAGCAATTGCCTTTGATTGTTTTTGGCAAACACCCCCAAAGAAAAGGCTGCAGTGGGTTGGCTCCAAGGCAGGTCAAATAAAGACAGCCTGTCAAATGACCAAGAAATATTCTTGAATGTAAGAAAGGAAAGTTGTAATGAGGTTACAGAATATTCATATAAGATTTACTAACA